ACTGTCCAGTATAGCTCAATGGATCGCTGAGGTCCGCAAACCGTCACACCACGGTAAGGTCCAGTCTCCTCGTGACGGCATATGGGGCACAAAAATAACTAAAGGATTTTCATTTTAATTGTGTTGAAGAGCGGTAAGGTCCAGTCTCCTCGTGACGGCATATGGGGCACAAAAATAACTAAAGGATTTTCATTTTAATTGCTGTTGAAGAGATGGCGACCTGGGTGTTATTTTGTGGAAATCCTAGTATAAGTGAAAGGGATCACTGGTTCGGGTGGTTTCCTTACGCGTATTGGGTCTTCCTTGTGTGATCATCCTATCTTTATATCTTTACAGTAAGGTGTGAGGAATCTCCACTCGCTTATTTCGATCACCTGAAGCGTCGTCTTCCTGATTAGTTGTTTCATCCTTTGGTGATTATGTTGTATTTTCAGCCATTGTTCACTCCCCTGGTTCAAACCTTTCCAAAACCTCTTCAGTGAAAATAACATATTTGAATTATGGACGATGCCCCTTCAAGTGGTGTCAACATCCCTACGGAACTGAAAGCCCCTGTGGGACCTCCAGATAAAGTCACATTACTCCTGAAAGCCACCGGAAACGCACCTCTAATGAAGAAAAAGACATGGTCTGTCAACCGGACGCAAACCATTGGTTGGGTTGTAAAATTCTTCCGAGACTATCTTCAGTGTGCATCCAATGAATCCTTGTTCATCTATGTGAATCAGTGCTTCGCCCCATCAATGGACACGGAAGTCGGAACTCTTTACGATTGCTATAGCACAGAGGGGAAGTTGGTCCTTCATTACTGTAAAACTCAAGCTTGGGGTTGATCTGTATTTCACACTATTGTTCCCATAATGCGCGTTTTCTATTGTGAATCATGTTTTCTTTTAGGACAATGCTGCCTTCGAAACCCGTACTTACATCCGGTTAGTTGTGTGTGTACGTCTAAAAGCTTCTGCGATCTACAGTCTGTGATCCACTTTGTGACTTTCTGGAGTCCGCCATCCACCTGTACCTGTATCAGAGAGGTGTATATCCCCGATGCTCATTCTCAGACTTTTCAATTTTCGGAATCCAAATCCAGGTAAACGTTCGGAGCTATTTAATTTTAATCCATATGATTCAATAAATCTTTCTCAAACTTCGAGCTTCTTGATTTGAATGGGGTGAATGTGGAAAATCAGCTTTTCATCGATTTCGTGCGTTCAGTGAGACCATTGATTGTGTGCATGTAGCTTTCTGTGTTATTGATCTTCACCAACTGGTGGAATCTTGGCGACTCTGTTTTCGAGCGGAAACGAGGAGAGAACCATACGTAGGTATGCAGTTAAACCTTATTGGCGAACCGCGGGAGTAGAACGAGTTCACAGAAGTATTTGTTGAAGTGCTTCAGATTCAACTTGTCGAATCAACGGTTTTGTATGTCTTATGGAGCTGGGATCCCTGAAAAATGAAGCCACTGTTTCCCCTTGAACACTGAGGGGTCGTGTCCGAAGCGCAGATAATAAGGTGCACACTGTTGTTTAGTCAGATGGTAGTTGATCTGTTTGCCAAGCATGGCTATTGGGTTGCAATCTTTTCGTCCCCGGTCGAGGAGACATCGTCAGTGCGCAGTTGAGTGGGTGCTTCCTCCGTGCCTAGCTGCATTTGTATAGTTTTTGGAGAGTATCTAGAATCGTATCATGTAATTTTCTAATTGGTATATACCTTTCTTGTAGTATTATTGACCCGACTGTGCTTCGCGCTGCGTTGTGGTTTGTGTGCTCCATATTCCATTGGTTGGATGGCTGTTTTGGAGTGCTGTGTGCTCCATATTCCATTGGTTGGATGGTTGTTTTGGTGTGTTTCAGGTCTGTTTTCGATTGGTCAGTTCCCGGCTTGTGTTGCTTTATGTTCTCTCTTCATTGAACTCGGTTGGTCGTGGCAGCGGTTTTTATTTTTGGTAGTTTCCTTACTTCATCCTGATAGTTTTAGTTTGTCCGCCTCTTCGTTCTGTAGTTCCGTAGTTCTTTTGCTTGTAGTGGTCGATAGACTGAGTCGACTTCGATATGTTTATAGATGACTTTTTCAGTGGAGTGTCTTCCTTCCATGAATTCACATTGCTTCTTCTCGTTTGAACTTTGCTTGTAGTGGTCGATAGACTGAGTCGATTTCGATATGTTTCTAGATGACTTTTTCAGTGGAGTGTCTTCCATGAATTCCCATTGATTCTTCTCGTTTGAACCAATATGTGAACAGTGCTGCAGTTGAATTTGTGTCCATCCTGATCTTCATGCACGGAGATGGGTGAAAATTGGTCGTGACTTTTGGTCGCAAGTTTGTGTTAATTTATTCTGGTAGAGAACTTCTTTCCTGTTTGTCCCATGCAGTGTTTCCCATAATCTCCGGATTGAATCTTGTACGCGGCGTTAGTCCTAGACATTGTGTCCAATCGTCCTTTTGGGTTTGATAGTGTTCTCTGTAGGGTGTTTGCAGGTTTGTGGGACACTGACGTGTTGTACTGTCGTAGCAAGCGTACGTCATCTGTTTGCCTTCTCCTTCTGAGTTGGTCGAATTGAGGGTTCGCCAGATGAAATTTCTGGGGTATCCATTTCTCTGGAAAGCTCTGCATAAGCGTTTCCTTTCTCTGACTTTTGACTCCGTAGTGTTGCAGTGCGTCTCAATACGCTTGAAGAGTCCGGATGCAGTCTTGCTTGGATAGTTCAGATGATCGCTGTGGGAGGTGAGAATTTGGACTGGTGTAGAACTCCGTCTGCAGTCTCACCTCAACTTATTACTGTCAAGTAACCAACAGTTCAGTCATCCAGATTTATCATCACTGTTTTGGTGTCCGACCACTCCGGTATTCTCCCGACTTGACTTAGGGCACTTCACTGTGGTCCAGTTATCTGCCATTGATTTCAAAACGTCGCCGAAAACCCGCTCGCTTAAAAATGGTGAGCGNGTGAGCGATTCCTGCTGGATTCCCTCTAGTTGATTCGTTTAGGGGGCTCCATCAGCTGCAAAAACAGTCGATGAATCGTCCCTTGGAAGTGAAAAGTGGGGTGTCACAAACGTTCCACATGTTAAGCGTCAGATTGCTATCATACTTGATTTTCCACCGTATCTAAGACTATGTCACCTCAAGGGCTATCCGTGACAGCTGTATTAAGGCGTACAGTACAAAATTTGAGAAAGGGACATCCCGCAGTTAGTGACTCTTTCCAACCCCTCGGAATCCTCACCAGAGTCGGAGACATCCCATTTATCCGAGCAAAATATGGTCCTTCGAAGTGTAAATAGCTCTCTATAAGGGACTGGCATTTCCACGGGCGTTTTTTACTTAACGGCTTGGATCATTTGATCTGCATGCTAAGGTTGCAAGCTAATGGATCCAGATTGCCTAAGAGCGTGTACAGTGTGTTGTTTTGTCAACATGTATGCGAACTTCCGACAGTCCAGTTAGTACGCTGTTCACATTCGTGATTCGCTTAATCCGGATCAAACTCCCGGAATCCCCATCCGACCGGAGAAACTTGATTTTTTTCATTGTCCGAAGCTAATCCTTTGCTGGATAGTATTCAGTCTCCGTCTCGGTCTTAGAAACCAGTATCGAGTGTTTCTGATCGGAAGTCTGGTCCGAACGCCACCTCTCGATTACCATCGTCATGGCCTCGACAAATCAATTAAATCTCAGTCGCCATCCTCTGTGGGTCCATATGACAGCTCTGTAGCAAAATGGCGCCAGCATATATATATATATATATATANATAGTTGTTTCGGTCGTAAAATACCATGTTTCTCTTTCTAGCAATAATTCACTGCCTTCGCTCATAACTGACTCAAAATCTGAGACTCGATTTGTTGTATCGCACAGCCTGAACAAGTTTTTCCTTGGAGCAAACGCCTAAGTCACTGAGAACAACTTAGCTGTAGCCTCATTTTCGTCTTCTAGAATTTGTCATTTCTGTACCTGAGCCGTTTTGACGAAATCTTCCTTCCCGTCAGTTCTGTAATAATCCTGATGTAAAGAAGTACGTATTCGATTGCGTGGAGTCACTTCGTCCTCGGTTGCCTCTGATTCGTGACATTCGTGTATTACTCAAAGCCCCCGCCCCGTGTGCAGCCGGCAATTCGGAGTATCTGGAGAGTCTAGTTTTACGTTTCGACACGATAGACGAAGCACTTGCCAGGTTTGTTTATTTACTCTTCGAACTCCTAGTTAAGTTTTATTTTTCTTAAAAGCCGTGGTTCATGGAATTTTTATCCAGGTCCTTGCGAAGCGTTTTTGTTGGGGGACATTTCGCAGCGAAATACGGGTTTCATTTCATCGACCAGGAGGAATGTTTTGCGTGTGCAACTCAATTTACCTAATTAAGTCAGAACAGTTACCGGTCCTCCCTTCAACTTCGTTTACCTTTTTATACGTAGTGGTGAAATCCCACATGGCTTATCGAACTGCGAGCCTAACTATTTTTTTACACGTTTTCACTCAAATCTCTCATGTCACTTTAGAAACATAATGGTGATGTGAAACTCTTAGAGACTTAACTTGCCGACATACCACGAGAAGAGATGTGTAACGCTCCGCGTAACTGACACCCTTAAAACACGTGACTCGACTGGTTATCACTGGGAGTATTACCATTGGTTCCTTGTAATACAGCCGTGACTATGAAGAGAAAGTAATATTGTGTAAAGAATAGGAAGATTTGGGTGACTGGTACCCCAATGTGAGCCTAACAACACCAAATCGGTTGTGGATAGAACAAAGAAGTATGCTCCTCTGAAAGAAACGCCTCCGCTGCTCGCATCCTTGTTTCCTTCTGGATTGGAGAGTACATTACTAGTCTGATACTGAAGGAAAGCATCGTGTTTGCGGTGCAAGAAAAGTTTCGATGATTCATCTTGAATGGTAGCAAGAAGGTGACCGTGACGCAATTTAGACCTAACTTGTTCCATTGGAGCATCCCACATGTGCAAACTGGCCTTAGATGTCTTATGATTATTTTCGTAGGTTCTGACCGAAAGAAACGGTATCGGAAACAGCAAACTATGTAGAAACGAAGGATGGAATGTTCAATTCATCGCGATGTAATGGCGTGACCATCCGTGGCTTTCTGTATAACTCCGTCAACAATCGAATGGTAAATAACTTGTCCGAAAATGATGACTACTGCCATGGAACCGTTTTGGATCTAAGTTTAAGCTGGAAAGATGACGTAACAACAGTTAAGAAGCAAATTTTGTTCCACGTTTTGGCCAGGTAACCAGTCTAAATTTTGCAGATGAATTAAGGCGGAAGATGGGTGCGGCACATTTTCAAGGCCGTTCCATGATACCGCCACACTTCCAGACTTTGATTCGCGCGTTCCGGCAATTTCGCATCGATAACAACTCGGCTTTAGTTTCTTAGCACATACCTAGACTGATATTTCTTCGTCATTTCACAGGAGCTGTTGGTCCAGTCTTGGCGTCATGAATTTTTACGCCTTTGCTCACATAGCACGCTATAGCGCCTCCTCAGTATGACCTCGAAACTCAGCAAGTTCAGTCATAGAACGAGCTGCACGCACTTAAGAGGTAGGACTATTCCAATACTATCACAGTCAGGCTTTGCTGCGCTTTTTTAGGCTTCCTCTTCGGCCAGGGGGTAATGAGTTACCCAGCTGTTCAAGCTTCACAGAACTTTGAAAAGTAGCTGCCATTGAAAATCAAGAAGCCACTGCAATATTATTTGAAAATAACGAAGTAGTGGGTAGTATGCGAATATGTCCGTTTGGTTTCTGAGTGTGTGAACAAAAGGCACGCATACTACGGGTGCGTCTCAGTTGGAGGGTCGACTGCGATTTGGGCTAAGAAACTTGCACACCGGTAACGAATTTGCGTTCAGCCTTGACAACTGGTGTAAGGTAGGGTTTGTTATGTTGCCAGTATGTCATTGCTGTTGCGATTACGCAGCTATGTCTCTATGGCTTAGGTTTCGGAGGGCGTCAGCTTTTATGCAGTCAGATTTCTAAATATTTGTCCGCTGCTTGATGTAAACTCACTCGGAGGAGGGACTACAATACTAATCTGCAGTATTGTTGGTGAAGAGCTGTGTCGAATATTCATTTGAAGGATGCCGCTTCCGAATCATTTGGCGGAGCTTGAATACACAGCTCGTAGGACTCAGAAGAGAACTGCTAGAAGGGTCGGATAAGGCTTCTAAGGTAAAAACGTGACGCACTACTCGTAAGGTTGCCGACAGCCCACGATCGGTTTCACCCTTTTCGGGGCTCATCAGATAGGTGCAGTCCTCGGGTTCCCGTCAACCTTATGTTCTACTTGAACCCAAATTTCACGTAATTAACGAAATGTACTCATTTGCAAACCGATTTCGTTTTGCGGGAGACACTTGGTACCCAACTGCATCTCGTTTATGTTTTTAACCAACTAAAAGTACTGCACCAACCCGTTTCACGTTTCAGTTGCTACGATATTCGAGATATCGCGAAATAGTTGTTAAGGGCTTCATCAGTGCAGAGTCCTAAATATAGAGTAGTCATCCTAAACGAGTAATCTTTGTCAAGGCTGCTGCCGTACGAAACCATTCCTAGAAAACCAATGTGCATTTGGCGTATCGCTCAGATTACTTCGCATTTTAATTAATTTCAGTGCTCTTCCACTAGCTCATCGTGAGAGGTCATTCGATGCGGAATAAGTAGAATCGAACCTGAGACCACCTCAGACCAACATACTTCTATACTTATTACTTCAGCGTTCTCGTGATCTTTTATGTCATCTAGGCGCATTGCCTGACCGAATCAACTTCAGTCTCCACCCCTCAGTGTGTGGCTTTGTATTCGAAGCCTCCTTCAGTTTTGGAGCGAATGAGTTAACACTACCAACTTGTATCGTAGACTCTCTTGCGTTCATTTAGACATTTAAACATCAAGTGCTAGGTACGGATGGAGTGCTTCCAAGAAAAGTGCAGCATCTCACAACTCTTAGCGCATTATGAAATGATCTGGTTTTGCAAATGCCAACTTTCAGATCTCAGCCGCGATGCCTAAGACAAACACTTGTAATGTCCTGAGATGCACAATTGTTCCCTTAAACCCGGATTTATGGATATTCAAACCGTTACGAAGGAACATCTTTCCAGGTGCCATCCAAATTAAAGCAAAATGCTATCCTGAACGAAATGGTGGGAACCTATGGCTGAGAATATCTTCGTATGGCATTACCATGAGGTGAACCTCTACTTTCTTTGTGTCCACTTCCACTTTAAATTTGGGACCAGGTTACCGATTCTATTCCTCACCTTCCTTCGTTTCAGTATGGTGAAGAGCTTGCGTCCTTCTGCGACTTTTATTGTGGTAGGTATATAAAGTGGCAGTTGAAAGACCCGACGAAATATATCACTTCCGGTCTAATTCTCACTAGGCCGTGTGGCAGTGATCTCATTTGGGTAATTCATGTACGCTGAGATTTCCAAAAGCCCACCTAATTCAGTACTTTTCTTTGGGTCATTGGCCCATCTGAATTTGGATTTGACTGAAACTCAGTCCTTGTTTCATGGCGTCCAGCAAAATCCAGAAACTACTGAATCATTCTTTTACACTGGGTTATCAAGAAATGACCACTTGCACTCTTATCTCCGATTACCGAGTTTCCTATTTGGTCTCCCGCACGTTGAGCGAAATATCTGTTGTTCATAGATAAGCAGCCTTCATTTTGTCTTACTTCCGTAGTGCAAATGACTAGTATAGTTAATGTACGGGTTGCTGGAGGGTCCTAGAGGAAGCGAAACTTGAGTCTGTTGGTTCTTTTTTCCGTGTGTGTGGGTTGGAGTAGGAGAGCAAGTAAATTCTCCAAATGAGTGGTTTGAATGGAGCGTCTCAGTGTACTGTTATTTTACTCCCATTTTCTCATTACAGAAAGGATATGTTGTTGTTACAGCTTCAAGAGCACTTTGCGACTGCCCTGATTCGTTTGAACCTGCTAGAATGTACTTATCCTCCAATAGACTTTGGTAGGTTCTGTTTTGCTTTTTCGCAACTTTAATTTTGAAAGGAATCACGTGCATGTTTTTTTCCGGCATTTTCAAGTGCGCATTATCATTTCTATCCCACCTACCAACAGAGGATTTTTGGACGCATGGTCTCGATAGGAAAGTACTCCAGTGTTGCCTCCAGTTTCGGGAAGTTGCCAGTTTTGCCTTCATCCAGTTCTGTGCCATGAATTTTCCTAATGATAGGTTTAAGCTGGGTGCATATTCCGGCGTTTTCTTTTTTACCGGGATTCACTTAATTAGATGACTTTTCAAATGCCTCGAATTCAAACATCAGTCATTATCATTAACCTCTGCGGACTTCAAAATTGTAAAATAGGATTCAAGGCGTTGGATTAATTTCCCTACTTTGGAAGAATGTGTACAGACTTTTGAATGTCTACCGCATACCATGGACGTATGTGATTATAAAAAATTGGTGTGTAAATTTGTCATCAGTCTAAAAAAACACTTTTCGAGCCATTGAACCACTAGCAGAACTAGTTTGTATTATCGTATATAACATATTATCATACATCAGTGCTCCAGTTATGATGAATATATCTGCCCGACCATGTCTGGAGCACGAGGTACGTTGATACGCATATGTAATAATCTTTTCCTTGCTCTGTTGTTATCCTAACAAACTTTATTTCGCTGCAAAACCGGATTATTGACTTTCCACAAAGCAGCCATTACTTCCCAGTGCAGCCAAACTGAATTCAGGACCATAGCATTAAAGCAGCGTTCCGAACAGATGCTACAAATGCGCACAGATAATTCTACGCTTAAAACCCACCATATCTATATATCGAAGCACCACAGTAAGCCAACAGGAGAAATAATTTGGGCCAAGATTAATCTGTCATCAGGTGCTTTAACAAGAAACCATGGTAAGTTTCGTGAGTTTGGGGGACACCAAATTTGTACCTACGTGTCACACCACGGAGTGTCAGCAGTTGGCAGCCAAATAGCCTCATCGAAAGGCGGTACTTGGTCAGCTTCACTTCAGAAGCTCCAATTAGAAGCCAATGCCACCTAGCGTTTTACTATGACTAACTTGATCACGGATCTGAAAACATGGTAGTCGCCAGCATGTGGCTGTCATGAGGGGTTGAGAGCGAAAAATTAGTTATCCATTTAGCTACTGTAATGTCGTCAGTAGTGTAGAATATGGCGACGTCGGTGTCAACCACTTCGGGTCTGTCAGGATGCAAGGGACGCTAGTTTTCTCGACGTCATTCTTTTGGGCGCATGTTTGCAATCTTCCCAGAAACGTCATAAATTGTCCGTTGGGTAAGCAGTCGGTTCTGGAACATTCAGGCCTTGATGCAGCACAAGCCTTGCCAGTCACACCGTGTCAAAAATTCAACGCACGGGAATGAAATTACCTAACAAGTCTGTCTTACAAGACAACTAATCCACCGTTTCATGGAATGGAGTGAGAATTTTGCAGAGCAGTCTCCAAAGTAGAGTTCCATACTGAAAATCGGATCAAAATACCATAGGCCTTCCATGAGAAGCCAGGTAGAACCCCCCTCACTCATACACCACGAAAGTCAACCACCTGATGAGTCATGTCAGGAAAAAGTGGAAATAAGGATGAGTCGCGCACCGAAAACGAATCAAACAAACTCCAGAAAAAGGTATTTTTCAGGAAACCCTGTCGTACGTCCAAGGATCACCAGACTACTTAGTCCCTTTGCTTCTTCGGTCGAATACGCTGGCTGCAGCCAGTATACTGAATAAGTTTGAAATCATTGGTATGTGTCCATCCTCACGTCCAGTGATCTCCCCCAAACAGCCAAGCCGGTGTAAGGCCTGAACTACAAACCCGAAATACGGTTGATGATTTTGTTCTTTGGTCCATTATTTTGTGTGAAGCGTTCTCGACATTCTGTGCACAAAGGCTGGTAACCCAATCCGACTGCATCCAGTGCTCCAGCTCCACCTCCGAATAACTTCACTCATCTTCGCTAAGTACTTCACTGATACGGTGATGTTCAAAGAAGGGGTCTTCGAAATTTGGCTGGAAGCAGTGGAATTCCAGAGTATTATCGCTGGGACTTGCTTGGCACTGCCTGTATGGCGACCTTTCTGCGCCGAATTTGAGATTTCTGTGCCAGTAATTGGTCGTCTTCATCCAAGCAGACCAGGTGAAAACTTTTATTGCCGATTTTTGAAACGGAACCACCACACATTCTGTTTTAGGGTACGACACACACCCCGAAGTTGGCAAGAGTGTTTTCTTTCGTTTCTTTGATTTCTGCTCACCCTTAACAATGATTTTTAGCACTGAGACAAAACGTTCTCACTCTGCACGTGAACTTTGCCTCTTGTTAAGATGCTTACCTTCATAACTGTCACAAACACGTTGCTTTTTATGCGTAATTTTGTCATTCGAGAATGTCCAAGATGAAACAAGGGGTTATAGCAAAGTGCATGCAAATACCAACAAGCCTGCGACACATCTTGCCACCGTAAAGGAGATAGAAGCTCTTTTTCATGGTTTTTATTGGAGTGTTCCCAGCTAGCCACGTACACTCTGACACTAGTATGTTTTCGTTGGGTTCCTCTCTGACACGCAAATGTTTATCCGCCCGTTTGTTTTCAGAGACCACTTGGGAACTGTGTGTTCGCTTACGGAAACCGGAGCACAATTTAAATGAGGTACGTTCTCAACATTTGCAGACAGAGGTTAAGGTCCAACGGATCCCCTATACGAAATGGACAGGGCAATTGTGAGAGTCTGTATAGCCAGAAAATGTCAAGTCAACAGAGCATACCATCGATCCGACGTTCATTTTTAATGACTGTATATGATCATTGACGAGACACTGCTGCGGGCCCGGGTAGTAAAGTGAGAGACGTAGAACATGGCCTAGTCAACAGGCATTGTAATTTTCCGAGAAAAATACAAAGGTTTTCAGGAAGCTAGCGTTCCGCGAGGTCTCTATCGGTGAAGCGAGGTATTCCTGCGAAATGTGTTTTCAAGAAATACAGCAGTTGGCTGGAATTAGTTTGGCGCTGGAATACTTTCAGCACTTGAGCTGTGATTATCTGAATCTCCCGTAAATTCCATACCGTAAGGAGCTATTTTTCAATTAGCAGAGGAGTTCGAGGTGCGTGGAACATCACCTGAACACTTCAGAGTAAAAAAAATGAAGAAAGCTGCTTTCCACTAAGAGCTATGCTCGGTTAATTAAAGGGTAGACACTGTCCAGAGTGCTGGTTATAACAATTAGGCAAGTGGTTCGCAACAGGCTGCGTGGAGCTTTTTGGATGTTCTCCTGCGGTGAGTGGTTCACCATAAGAACTATCCGTAAGTCGATGAAATGTCGTAAGTCATTTCGTCATCTGCAGCCGGGTTGGTCTCTCCTTCACTCAGGAATCCAACACCACGGAGAGCTACCTGACTGACAAGTCTCGAAGTTCATTTGTTGACTAGCTGGTCGACATTGAGCTCACAGTTGCTAAGCAACCACACCTTTCTGTTGCCACTTGTGATTAGTTTGACTAGAAGATTCAAGACAAGAAACACGTGGGTATAAGAATGATGAAAAGGTCTTTGGTGGGGTTTCAAACAAAATAACCTGTTCACCTGCACACAATACATTCATTCGAATTGTCTGGGTTACCTAAACGATATACCAAGGGTATGGGGGGTTTCAAACAAAATAACCTGTTCACCTCCACACAATACATTCATTCGAACTGTCTGAGTTACCTAAGAGATACACTAAACGATATACCAAGGGTATGATTACATGGTGCGAACACAAGAAAAGTTAATACAACTTACGGGGAAAAGATTGTCCTTAGATGTGCAAATGCCTAATCCACATCCGGATTGAACTGTAGCAGTATGAATCGCACGCAGCAAAACATTCATCGATTTATGCTGCATAATTCTACCTTTGTTCCAGACTTCACCAATGTCCTGGATCGAAGATAGCTACAAGAAGCATAAATTAGTGGACCGCACAGTTTTCCCGATAAAGTCTGTTGACACTCCTTATGTCCAGGTAGGCTGTTCCGTTCTCTTCATTCTTACTATTTACAGATGCAAGTGTTGTTAGAACGAAAGGAAGAAATAGCTGAAGCTCCGGGTTAAATTTCATCCATATGGTCATTGGACATCCCAGAATTATTTTTAGATTTTTTGGTTTTGTTGTTCTTTTTGCTGAAATGAATTGAAAATCTTTGTTATGAAATGTCTTGCAGATTATTTCCGACTATTGGTGATCTTCTGCTTGGCTTCGGTTCACCGCTGCAAGCTTTTATGGGTTCCTTTTTGCTGCTTTAAAACGATCATGCGGTCTGAAAGTCAGTCAAACTGATCTACCCAACAGAATAGCGCATTTCGACCTTCAATAATGGTACAATCCTGAGATTCCATCTCGGGTTCTTCGTTTCTTCAGGAGATAATTTTGGCGGTTTAATAAAGGCGATGGGATATATATTAACATGCTGAGTGTACGGGGGTACGTAGTTGCGACTGTCAAACCGAGATGATAGCTGCTTTTAGATTGGCACGAGGAAGCACACGACAAAATGTCAGCTAGTGCACCTTAAAAATATAGCCGAACAACTTTGGGTGTCTCGACTAGAGCGAATAAGTAAAACATATCAACGGTACGGTGTTATGGATTAGATGTATGATTTTAAAACACACTTCCTTTTTGTGTTTTACTCAGCTTCGTCAGCATCCACCTTAAATTCCGAGTTCGATTTCTGTCTGAAATTCATTATGTTCCAACTCTTAGTGACGTATTTTTGTTGAAGACGTAGGTAGTGTTGTGAGCCTGAATTAAACAACAAGTAAGAAAATCTTCGCCATCTAGTGTTGCGTGATGGGAAAGCAAGGTTCAAGTAGAACAATATTGACGGAAACTCGGGGACTGCGCCTACCTGATGAGCCCTAAGAAGGGCGAAACCGGTCGTGGGCTGTCGACGGATTTTCAGCAACCTTATGAGTAGTACATTACAAATATGCGTGTATCGCGATATTTCAGATATCGTAGCGACTGAAACATGAGGCGGCCTGGTGCAGCACATTCAGTTGCCTGAGAACATCATAAACGAGAGATTCAGCTGGGTTCTAGGTGAGTCTCTCGAAAGAACCAAATTAGTTTGCAGATGAGTGTATATTCGCTAATTTCGTGCAATTTGGTTTCAAGTAGAACATAAGGTTGACGGAAACCCGGGGACTGCGCCTACTCGATGAGCCCCAAGAAGGGCGAAACCGGTCGTGGGCTGTCGATGGATTTTCAGCAACCTTATGAGTAGTACATTACAGAAATCTATTTCAGTTGGATACATATGTCTATGGCCTTGTCGAATCCAAACAGGTCTTTCAACCCTCGTCGAATGATGGCGCCTGTTCGTGACAATCAATCTTTACATGGCCGAAAGTGGTTAACTTGGTAGGCAGTATACTGATATGAACCCCATGAAAGTTAGGCTAGTGGGCAACCATATTGGGAACCATCATCTGATCACAATGTGTCCTCCCTGGCCACTATGTCCTATCTCGCTCCATTCACGTTCCAGTAAAGACTTTTGGTGGCTACCTTAATCCTTCCAACTGGGTTAATCTTACGTCACAACTAACAGCTTGGCAGTTAGTGCTGTGGTATCAGTATCATACAAGGGAACAGACTTGCTTCGATCTTGGCATTAGGCACGCGGGAATGCGCTGATTATTCATGCACCCGAACTCTTCATTTTGTGGATCTTAATAGACCCTTATCAAAGCCTTCATGAGTATCGAATATTTATTTATTCGCATAAAAGACGAATGAAGCTTGCTAACGAAGTCAATAGTACATCAGCAAAGACTTCATTAAAATCCACCACTGATACTATCGTTAGTAGTGGGCTTTTCTATAGCACGGGGAAATTTGAAAATTGCGCTTATCTCATGAAATTCAGACTCGTGACCTCCTAGTAATTCAAGACTACACTGTTCGATCAAGAGTAGTTGGTCAGTAATCGAAGTAACTTACGCCTAGATAGGATAGAGTACCACTTGCTTTTTTGTTCTCCAATAATGCCTTGCTATTGAACGGCTTTTTCAGGGAGCAGTAAAAGGGAACAGCGCTGGCGGCACTTGGCTCAGTTATCTCACGCCTCTTGGCGCAGTGATTTTGATCCCTCGATGAATGAGTGACATTCAAAGTGGATTTGCCAGTCAACCGCAGTCAGATTACTAAACCCATGCCACAGACTTTTTGCGCTGCACGGATTGTGGTGCTGCATACATGCCCTTGGCATGTACAACCGGAGAAGTGAGATCGGTGAGCGAACCTGCGAAGGTCTGTTGCCGGCCATCAGCCAGCTTAAACATATTGGCATAACAATGGGTACTGACCTGTTCTTTCTTCGTCGTTCGACAACTTCCGCTGTTCGTGAGGTGATACCGCATCTCCTGTCAGTACAGCACCCCACTCTGCTTTAGAGAGCTACCCAATAACATGCCATCAAGGTGGTAATGGATGATATGGCGTTATTCCATTACTCCTATGGTTAATGACGTCATTCTTTGAATGATAATACCGGTCGGGGTAGGTTTCTTGCTGCTCGGCTGGGCTATAGCATTCAACGAGGCTAATCGATATGGGAATACCTGAAACACCCCTTCATCCGAATGATTAACTGTAAAAACAAGCAGACCATGACTGATGGCGTGGTTAGTCATCCAAAGTTTGGCATCGGGTACGCATCCACGCCATGCACCTGTCGGAGCGTTCTGACAACTGGATGCAGTGTGGACACCTCGTAATTAGTGCACGCGGTATCACAAACCCCGGTTACACCTATGAATCACTTTTCGGGAACGGAACCATCTTAATTTCTGTTTTAACAGCTAGACCATTTGGGACCTCTTGAAATGAGGATGAGCTGCTTTCATCCAATAAAGTATCCTCATTTTTATCTCAAGTGTCGCTGCTGAAAACCAGGTTTACCTACTGATGCGTTCCATGTGGGCTTCCATACTGTTTCTAGCTTTATTGGTAGCCGTTATCAGAAGTTCGAACCGGTTTGTACTTAAGATATGGGAAATTATGTGTTTGAAGTTTGTTCGAAGGTCCTTGCCATCCCAATATGAAAAACCGATAGTGCCAGTGGGAGAGTTCATTGTATACGGAGTAGTCTGGAGAAATGTTGGACCATTTGGAGGCTTCTGTGAATGGGCCAGTACAAGCGCATCTAGATTGCAGTCAGTGTTTCACATTGAGGCATCACAGTTATTGAGTTGTTATCACGTCATGGGAATTAAACACTATTTGATCCTGAAGAGAGGTTGACCAGATAGCCCAAGCATTTCCAGTCATATCTTAGCGAATGCCTAAGTAGTTGCACTGTCAGCGTGGTATCCAAATGTGCACCTTCGGTTCACAAAAGGAAGAGTTCTCCATGGATCTCAGTAAACTAGTTCGAAATTTTTCGTGTAGTTTTCTGGCAACATCACAGAGAATGTCTTCAGGTTGTAAATTTATCATGAGGTGCTGCGAGCAATTATGGAATTTTAAGTTTGCTACCAGAACGTTGAACTCTACCTCAGGTTGTTTTGTTTCACGACTTTTGACATGTTAGACGGCATAGAATATAAACTGCGCATAAGCCAGTCTAACAGTGAGTGCTGAGAAAACTCCGTTCAGATTTTCTCATCCTATTTGATTTGACTGTAAAAGTCAGAGCTTGTACATGGTAAACTTTGCTGGTGACTACATTCCGTTAGAGAAAGCCCATTGGAAAGCATAGTGGAATATTCCTGTCGTCTGCAACCAGGAGAGGATAGTTAACCTCTACGCAGTCGTCCGTAACACACGAATCCGCGTTGGTTGTAACGCGAGCAGCGATGATGGAACGCTGTTTGGTGGGTTCATATCTTCTCTCTAATGTGGGCGGATGACCGTTCCTATAACAGTTTCTAGTTAGTTGGTTGATTTGATTCTTCAATTGGCTGGCAAATGCGGTACGTTTCTGACACCGAAATAATAAGAAAGGCGTTCATGTGTAAAAATCTATTGTCCGGTGGGATTGGCTAAAATGGCTGCAATCTTCAAATTGACGAGTGCAGTGTAATTCGGCTACAATTCAACTCGATGGACAAGGTACACTGATAACTTTCGATTCATTGCCAAGTGCGTTCGTCCGTACGCTCATGTGAAATGTTCCGAAGCCTCGACAAGCAGATCCGAACTTTCCGTCGCGCGTGAGTGCGACCAAAGCACCACTCCACTGACCAACCTGACCGGACAGAAAAATTATGCAGGAACTCAAATATAAATGTCTATTATACATACCGAGATTCACTTTATCTTCCACCTTAACGCATCACAGCGAGTTTTAGTCTGCCTACCTATTTACCCCGGTTTGTTGTATCAAGCACCAATACGGAAAGAACGTCCCCGAGTGAAATAAATCTTCCCTTCAATGGGTTTCATCAGTATACGTTCGTGCACCAAATAGAAACCGATGCAGTTTGTAGAGCGCAAAGATTTAGATAATGCAGTTTTGGAGTAAGCAAACAAGGGCGCTTGCTTTGACCAGACAATTTCATTATTATTACTAATATTAGATGTGGAAGCGAAATATCCATGGCCTCCTGCTGTAGAATTGCGTCAGAAACCACAGTTCTTTGGCAGCCATTCACGGTTGTGGTTCAACATGTATTTTCACATTTTACCATTCGTCAATTGCAGAGCCAAGGTTTGTAGGTTTTTTATGAACCAGGGGAAATTTGCAATGTTCAGTGCTGAAGAATTACGCCTGCTGTTGTCCTAAGGGGAAGAATTTTCAACAACCTTATGAGTAGTGTGTTACATCTATAGACAAGGTATCACTAATTTAGCACGGAGAGTCAGACCTTTGCTTGCACCGCCAGATCTCATGATTTTTCCACTATGATCAGGTCGATGTTCTCCGTAGTCGAGCAGCAGACTGATTGCACAGTCAGAAGGACCACAGCCGTTGCTCGCAGTTTTATGAAGGGTGTGTTTGATTGACGACCGGGATGCTGCGACGGACTGACAAGTTGACGTCCACAATTGAAGAGTGAGTTCGTATTGGAATGAGGCTGCGAAGTTCGGCTGTGTTCACCTGGTAACATCTACTCTCACTGGTTTGGCACAAACCAAGGGGTGATCAGATTTCAACTAGTAAAGTTAGAAGCCAGTAAAGTTGGAACGGTATCGTTGGACAGGGAAGAGAATAGTATGGACTGTGCTTTTGTTGTTTGGGCTGTTTTAAAGTTGGAACGGTATCGTTGGACAGAGAAGAGAATAGTATGGACTGTGTTTTTCGTGTATTGGGCTGTTTTAGATGAGTGGAACCCGGTCGATTTCGTCCTAGCTAGCAAAGGAACTAAAGTCAAGGTCGCAAATGCAATCGTCAAAATATTATGTACTGGCTGTCTTGTTTATGGTTGTATGTTGCTCTGCAACCTACTGAACTGACCCTGTCACGAAAGCTTCGCATGTACCTTACATGCATGTGCGTCGGTCATTTACTGAGGTGAAGATGGTAGGACTTAGTGGTATTGAAAAGATTCGTCGTAGCTGATGGCGTCTCCTGTGTCGCGCACCCAATTCCTTTTTCACAGTGAGTCAGCAAGGCTTCGTTCCATAGATCGATCACTCCAGTCGCTCTTGTAGCATCCAAATCGTCCTTCTACCTAGCTTGAATACCTGTTTGTCACTACTGTCTATCTTGTTAGTTCTCTCCGTGGCAATCGCCAGAGGTCTCCGCGTATCACAATCCAGTGTTTTCACATAATATCACGAGATTTAGTTGATGCAGATATTCTACACCAGGGCCGACGCAGTCCACATGCAGAATTTGTACTGTCCTCTGGACCTGTTGTGGTTTGCGAATATAAAAGTAGGTACTTGAGGGTGAGACGAATTCGAGCGAAGAGCAGTAGTCAAGACAGCTTGACTGACAAAAAAACATCCATACACACCAACTGCTCATCCGAAAAGGTATGCGCCTCCAGGTATTTGGAAGTAGAAGATCTAAGCTTATGGAAACTGCTGCGATTTTCGCTTCGTATTGGCGGTCGTTCCCATGACATTAGGAGGGATAGAAAGCTTCAAAAAGCATGTTTGAATTCGCACACACAATTGTCCTGCCCCCCCTCATGGGCATCATGCAGCATCCATCGTGGCTAGTTGAGAAAAAACGGCCGAGAGGATCAATGATGAGACAAGTCCAGAACCGTTTGAAGCCCCTGGGTTGCCTTATCAGGCCCTGTTGCTGCCCATATCTTCAGATGGTAACCATTTAGCAGACACTCAACCTCCACGGCCCTTGAAAATTCATCCATAAGAACATTGTGTGGGATGCCACTAAGCACATAGGGCTGGGATACACCAACCACGACTGTACAAATCGATCGTATATAACCAATGACACAAAACACTACCAATTAGGAAGTCACGAATGCGACGAAGGACATTGGAGTTGAGTCCCTAGACTGTAGATGCTCCTACTAAAAGCCTGATGGAAACCAGCACAGTAAGAAATTTCCTTCATGGATAGTAAGTTCGTACTGAGCAAACGGAATTTTATTTGTGTTCAGGTGTGAACTTCTTCCATATTTCGGACGGCCGCTTGATAGAAATACAGCAAAAGCTATAAGTTACTCATTATGACATTCGTCGGTGTCTCCTTGATCTACGTGATAACAGGTTTTACTATGGATGGGAAACTATGACCAACGGAGCGCTGAAAGAGTGAGATATGCAGAGAAGTAAACGAATGGTTTAACTTTTTATTCTGCAACCATGCGCCAAGGTTTTCACAAAGCACCGCACCCACAGACCTAGCAGCTTTTTCATTTTTTAAGAATGCCTGGTTGTTTTTGGTACCACACTTATGCCAGTGTATCAAGTCCCACACAGAAACCTATTATGGACAAAACTCGTTTGCAAAGCAATTTTGTGTCCATAGGAGACAAACGAATATCAGCCCAGCTTCCAAGTCCGAGTATAGACAAATCGACTATGGGTTGTAAGGGGAAGTTTCATCAACCTTTTGAGTGATACCGTACCAGGAGTCTCGCACTCTTCCGCCACTCTAAAAAACCGTGTATTCAGGCTTTACATATTCGCGTGGCTCATACTCTACTAGCTGTCAAACTTTCAGCGTGAGATCTGAATTCAACAGATTTATAGACAACATACTAGGGCACTGACACCGGGACATGCCGCACTTGCCTTTTGGATTAGCTCTGTTCTGGTAACGGCTACTTTATGTTACCATATATACGAAAAAGTCTGTAGAGATCCAGCTCACATGTGCAACAGTATCCAATCAGAGGAGACTTATCCTAATACGGTCCATAAATCATTCCGCGAGAACTGGTTGATGTGCGACAGAGTACTGTGTAGAAATCATCAAAGTCAACCGCACTCACCTGCTTGACCATATGTAGGCTTTTTTCGCAGGCTTCTGTCGGACCCATACCCTGACGCATTAACTGGACAGTTTGGTAACTCAGAAGAAATCGCATCATTACGTCACCATCTCCCGTCCCAACTGCACCGCCAACCTGAAATCAATACACAGAAAACCTCACATCTGATAATTGCTATTCCCAGTCAAGCCAGCGCATTTGGAAACGAAAAAAGAGGTGTTTTACATCAGTTGATTTTCTGGAAGCTGTTTAAGAATTTTAGTTTTCATAAGTGTGCCGACTGAATTATTTCTTATAAGAAATTGAGAGTTCATTGGTGTTTTCCGAAAATTGATAGATTTGTCCATCAGAGCTATCAATCTAACAGTTGCATGCGTTTTTAAAGTGGTCGATGAAATGATGTCGTATTCTACCTAGGAAACGCTTCCAACAGATCAACATTAATGTTAGACTCTTCCAGCAGTAAGTCTTTTGAGCCCTGTGATGGTGTTACTGAAATTAGTAGAAAATCAAAGTTGAAACAAACAGTTATTCTGGCTCACTCCGTGACGCCAGTTCAGGTGGTCCTAGTGGAGTGATCGCCTTCTCAAGAGAGAAATTCCATAGCAACTTCTCGAGATAGTGGCTGAGGCGCGACCGCTAAGTCCGTGGTTCGAATCCAACCTAAATATCTTGATTGCTCTTCTCTATGCCTAAGCGTCTCAATCCTCGTGCTTCCATTGGGGGGCATAGGAGCTAAGTACCAAAATGGTGTCAAAGTGCCTGGACTGCTGCGACAAATCCTTGTAAGGTAAGCCTATTAACTGAAATTCGTTGGTGTGCTGGCAGTGGTGGATTGCCTTCATCTAACACTGAAAAAATGTGCACATCAAGAGTGAAGTCACGGAGGGACACAACGGCTATTTTCTGGGATCACAGTGGAACACAGCGACGAAAGACTGACCGGGATGCCAAGAAAAATCTGACAACCAAGGTCATTTTACAAGGTCGGATACAAGCGTAGCAGGCAGTAATTTGACTGAACGCGTGGGTTGAAGAGCACCAGGGTGTGGGTAGAGTGAGTGTGGAACACAGACGACGAAAGACTGACCGGAATGCCAAGAAAAATGTGACAACCAAGGTCATTTTACAAGGTCGTATATCAGCGTAGCAGGCAGCAATGTGACTGAACGCGTGGGTTGAAGAGCACCATGGTGTGGATAGAGTGAGACCTAGGTGTCTGTATTAACAGGGGAGTAAGCCCGACGGAAATAGGAACAGAGCTGTCTCGACCCACGCTGTGGGAACGTCATCACGGTTTGCGTGAAGATGAAACTGTCAAGAAATGGATGTGCATTCCTTTTTGTTCGAAGAGCAAGCAAAATGATTTGTGTGACGAAGCTCACTCGCCCACCGGGAATATTCAGTCCGTTTCCGACAAGCAGTATTTGTTTCATGTCTCGTTACACTTGCATCCAAAATCAGATGAAAGATCACGATCGCAACTTCCAGGGCAAGTCACAGCAGGAAGTCTGCAGTGATTTCTTGTTACATAGGAAACTATGATATATCTAGATGTCGAATACATTGAATATATATGTTGCATATATTTATACAGAAAATATCCGGTTGGAGAGAACGGTTTCGACCCATTTCACGAATGTCTTATCTCGATCAAAACCACCGTTGATGAAAACAAAACAGCTCAGCCCAGCAAATATACCGATAACGCTAGCACGTACTCAGTCGTATACACTGTACGTCGTGGAACATCCGTCGAATTTTCTGAACATGCAACTTTCCAGGTCGCCCATGGGTACACTGCTGAGTATATGTGGCTGTTATTTCACTCATCGAAAAGTGACGCCAAAAATGAGCTCAGCGCATTCTTGGACAAGTGTGTATCAGTCAACTAGTTGGCAAGCACACATGCTTGTTTTACAGGTCCTGGAATTCGGATGGGAGTTATGGTACACCACCACCGTTGATAACTGACCAAAGAAGTGCAGGTCAAACGGTGTAACGTTTTTTCCATAAAAAATTGGGTCATTTGCTCTAGTTCGTTTTTTGTTGTGGCGGAGACCCTCGTGACCTTAGTGGTATTCACTGCATCTAGTGTCCAGGACAATGAAGTGTTGAATACTGACCCCATCGAAGCATGTTGATAGGTTTGAAGTTGTGCGGACCGACTGCCACTCTTTACCACACAATTAGTTAGCGTCAGCCAGCTAAATTTAAACACAGCAGCCGTGTTACTCTTGGTAATATTGCCATTTACGTTTGACTGAAAAATTTTCCGAGGGGGGAATTGTATTACTTCACTTTCTTTAGTGCTTTCTGCTACCAGCATCAAAGCTTAGTGTATTGTGGTGACATTTACATGTATGGTCGGTCAACCGCCCTAACAACTACCACATGGGCCGTATCCCGCAAGTGCTCCCCGTTCTAGCGGACCACTGTGTTTTACCCCAACGATAACTAGTTATATTAGGAAGCCTCATGCACATATAGTGTAAGTCAGAAAATGTGTGAAGCACGTCACAAGGCGACTGTTACTGTGTGCTTTCCTCAGGCAAACGGACACAAAACAAAGTTAAAAACATCGACAATGCACATCTCATGAACTTCGAGGACAGTCTCAAACGCGACCTCCCGATTATCAGCCGAAGACTAATTCGTTCGGCAACGAGCAGCTGATTAGCGATGTGATCAGTCCGCAGTGCGGCGAGACGTAGCGCCCCATATCCGTCACTCACGGAAATCACATCAGATGGTCACGCACGTACTGGATCCTCGAATAATAACTTCTCATATGAAAAGTTCAGTTGTCGTGTGAATTGTCCACAATCTTAAGCCATTTGATCATCAGTCACTGGTCGAAAGGTCGCGAGTTCGCAACGCCTTGAATTTCGTGAGACAAGCACTGCTGATAATTCTGAATAAAGATGAAACAGTGCTTCTCGGCTTTTCAAAACGGGTGGGTTTCGCTTACATGACAAAATACCCATTGTAAATCCCCAGATAGCCTGATGCTACCAACAAAGTTGGATGACCGACGACGGCATGAACGAAGACGCTGTATTCTGAATCAGCGGAACGAAACAGGAAACTCCAACTTTGATGTGACGTACTTACTTCATTATCCACATATCCACCAGCGCCTGGAATTGGTGTATCTCCAACCCTTCCAGGTAATTTGTGAATCAGTCCACTCGTAGAAAGCCCAACAGCCATTGATCCATGATGATCGATTGCGATCATGCCTATGGTATCGTGCTTTTCGGAGTCAACACCGCCAGTTGGACGTAGAGCAGCCTGCGGAAACGGGCTACTCACTGAAAAATCAAAGCCAAGTTAGGGGACTAATCGGTTAGCCAACATCGAAAGAAGGGACGGTTATGGTAGACCTACGCACCACCAAAAAATCCACGGAGACGATCAGCCCTCGGTTTGTTCGTTGTATGGATGTTTTAACCTAGCACCTGCACTCGACGCAGTCTTGTCGTATCGGGTAAAGTGTATGCCTAAAATCACGCTGATAGAGATGCACCGAAACGGGTGAAGCATATGGTTCAGCGGATTCACCCAACCCAGATCACTGGACACACTCCCAATCCAAGAATGAAAATTCCTCTCAGACCTACGTTTCTACAGGCGCACTTTGAATACAGGATGCGCGTAGCTGTTGGGAATTAGAGGAAGGTGGACAGAGGTGTGTGGATTAGGGACGGGTAGTATAGTCTGCCTCCAAGAACGCCCCCCAGAACTCCAATGTGAATGACTCTGCACAGTAACGACACAAGTGCAGTACACTAAGCGCAACACTATGAGCCTATAATCTGATCTGCCGTTCTGTTCGACCTCTTCTATGTTTTCTGTGGTGGACCCCAAGAGGAGCCTGTTCTATGCATCAGTCTTTTCCTCTGTTTCACGAACGTAGACTGGTGCACCTGGGCAGACAGGGTCAGAATTTAGTCCCAGTGTGGCGTTCCAACATACGAGTGCTTACTTAGTTCAACTCCTGATCAATCACCAAACCACTTGAACTTCACCGGATATCCCATCGGAAGTCAAGAAAATGTCACACGACATATGTAGCAGGAGTGAAATGCTGTTTAACTCAGAGTTATCATTTCAGGCATTGAAGCATATCTAACAGAATTAATACGAGTAAAGTAACTGCAATGGGCTGAAAGAGGACAGTAACAAAGCTATCAAGTGTATTATCACTGACCAGTTCTGAGACGGTTCCGAAAGAGTAGATGTGCATGTGGTGGTATATGAGCTAGATGATCAGAACTTTACCGACATATGGAGCCAGGTTGGTACAGTCCAATGCGATAGAATAAAAAGACAGATCTGAACGACTAATACTGAACTCATTATGGGACCTACAGTCAATGCAACTTGGGAATTGGAAAAGTGCAACGGACATACTAGTCAAAACACGCTATCTGAATACGAGTCGAGACCGTGTTAATAACTGTCAAGAAAAATCCAGATATACCAGTAAAGAGTAATATCGAAACCATTGTTGATTACTGATAACGTTTCGCTGCGTATGAAGTCAATAAAGGTGCCAAAAATACACTCCTGTCAGATCTTGCAAGCAAATCCACAAGCCGATGATTTTCACCGCTAAAAGACCACTGAAAATGTCAATATCTAAGCATACTTGGTTTACCGCTTGGTGGTGTGGTACCTGTCTTGTTGAGTACAGAATAAAAATTAACTCACACATCCGGGAAATTCATTGTTTCTTGAACTGATATTTATCTGTAAAAGAACCATTGGGTTGAAGCTTGAAGGCAGCTTTGTAAGTCAGTATGATCCTGAATAATGGAGCACGAGGTAAGCCTGCCCAGAATTAACTGAACGTTCTTACCATACGAAAGTTAGGTGACTGTTACGTGATGATTTGTTTGTAGAAATGTTAGAATTACAATAAATTAATTGTGGAAAGAACAAAAGATATCGTCTATTGATTATTCTCACCTTTCTCACATGCTTGCCGCTTCGGCTGAGATACTGTGGTTTCATACAATGATTTGTTACAGAGGTGGGATAATGGTCTTCGCTGTGTAAATTGGCTTTAACACCAACGATTGTACAACATAATGAACGAGCAATGAGAAAAACTTCCTAAGCTTAGAAAGAATCAAAACAAAGGGCACGTATTGCAAACCTTACTTTATCCCAAATCTCATTGAGCACTTACATATCTTGCATTCAGCTTTCAGTGTGTGTATTTTGTGTGAAGAGCTATGATACCACACTCTTCAGATAGTCAATTCCGATGAAAACATTATGGACAAGCGAGCTGACCATATCGAGATTAATGGGTGTTTAAAGGTATTATGTTTGCAAAGTACCTTTGCAAAGTTCCTTTAAATTTGTGTTCAACGTCAGTCCGATCACGTGCAACAAAACTGAGGCACTCTCCAAGTTGAGTGAAGTCAGATTCAGTCGGGCAAATGTTTCCTATTCACAAAAACTGATCGACTGAGGCCTTACTTTCCTTTAAAAATAAATTCCCTACTATTCGACAGCCTAATGTCGATTTCGCCCTTCTTGAGGCCCATCAGGCCGACATAGTCCTTCAGTTTCCGTCAGCCTTGTGTTCCAGTTGAATCCAAATTGGACAGATTTCCACAGATTCACTCATTCGCATACCAGTTTGGTTTTCACAGGACACTCAACTGAATCTCTCCTTTATGGTATTCAGCAACCTTGTGAACAGTTTCCTGTATGGAAATATAGCGTGATACCTCGGAAATAAAAGGCAGTCTTTGTGTAGGACATTCAGTTGAAGAATATCCTAATTGAGAGATTCAGTTGAGTCTCTCCTGAAAACCAAACTGATGTGCGAATGGGTGTGATTGTCGAAGATCTCCGCTATTTTACGCGAATAAGGACGCACTATGTTACTGCTGATGCACAATTTGAAATTAGCGGTTTTCTAAAACGACTCGAGAAGTCTCATTCGAACTAAAAAAATATCCAGCCATAACTGAACTGTCCTATACGTGGCGATTAGTCTGGTCTATGGTTAGGACTTACTTCCATATCTGGGTCCATATGGACCACAGTTTTTGCTGGGATCTGGTGTCCATGATGAGGGATTACGATAGTTCGGTTGGCAGCGATTATTAAGCCATTCTTTCCACATAGCCTGTGACTCAGGCGTGTCCGAAGAACGACGTGTGTAACCACGGGATACGGCAAAGTCTGCAGCCTTTGTACCAACAAGTAAAGTCTGCTTCGTTGTTCTCATCACTTCGAAAGCCACTTGTGCCGCTTCCCGAATGTCAGGCATGGCTGCTACGGCACCTGCCTTAAAAAACAATAACAAAATTTGCGAACTGTTTAGTTTAATTCATACATTACAAGCGAGCACCATATCTCTCCAAACTTGGCCGCCTGTTACAAAATGGTTCAGTGTGCAAAGACAAAACGTTGACCATCGTCCAACTAGCGAATTGGCCTTGTCGAAAAATCTCCGATAACAGTCATAAAAAGTATCGGAAAAGCCTGGGTTTCTAGTAGCCACTTCATCACGTACCCGTCGAATCAAGTGTGTCCAAAGGTCGGTGTGGAAAAATTGATTGATGACAAGATTTGAGGTCATAGAAGCGCGGTCATGTGAACAAACATGTAAACATACCCTCTTAATTCAGTGATTGACAGGTGATTGGATTAACCAACCCCCTAAACCTTGCAGGATCAATCATACAAACGTCAAGATCTAGTATTTATGAAAGTCCGAAACAACTCAGTGTTTGGTTTTGTATAAAACATGACAAAGAGTAAATTGAAATGAAAATGGCAAATCATAAAGCAACGGCTACTCAAGTTCAGTAGATGTTACCAAGTCTTGTATTGTGTACAAACTCTTCATATCGATAAAGCAAAACACTCCTGGCGAACAATTTCGCCCGATGTAAGATTTGGTGGTCAGGTTGTTTGTCCGTCTTCTGGGTACATACGGTTCATAAGAATGAAGATGATGACGACATTCCATCAGAAGAGGGTTTCTTGGTTGGGCAAAGATCAGGTGGTACTAAAGGTTTTTCAAAAGAATTGACAGGTCAACAAAATGAGAGCAGGTGGTGTTTCTCTGTTCAGTCTTGAAAGCAAAAATGTTTAACTATTGTACATCATTTATAGTTCTTTTCCTCTCGAATATTCCCTCACTGCAAGTGTCTGGTTTTTAACTAGAATTTACCAGATAACCACTTGGGCCAATGCATGACTTGGGAACTAGATGGGAAGTTGCAACCCCTTTCAGGAAATGTACTGAAGGTCTACGTCACTTCGGGTTCAGATGGTGCTCAAAATTTTCTCACTTCCACCCAAAGATCCTCTTTTTTCAGTTAGAATACAGTTAAAAGTAACAGTACGTCTATTCCGTTTATTTTTCCGACCTTCAACGGTCTAAAATTGCCAAATATATGAAGTGGATAGAAAAAAACAACAGTAACTGGCGAAACTATGACCGATTCAGGTTACTACAAGTCAAAACGATTTTATTCGGAAATAGCGTAACTGAAAAGTGTGCACAGTGACAGCCTACCTGCATCGTCTTTCCGTCCATGACCATAGCATCAAGTGTGGTGTGCCCTTCTTCATCCGGAGAATTTCCATAGCCGACACTGTGTATGTCAGGATCTTCTTCTGCTGATGTGCACCCAGCTACTACCGCAGCGATTGCAGTCCCCCACACATGTTTAGACCCAATAATGGCTGAACCTTGAAGTACGCTCCATGCCGTGTCCGTCGCGTTTGTGAATGGCCATGTGGCCACAACTATAACGGGCGGCTTGCCCTTTGCCGTAATTGCATCGACATTGAAAAGTGATAGGAGATTCCAAACAGTAACGAGCCGACCGAGCATTCCTTTCAAACCACAAATCTCCAGTGGTCCTTTCGACGTCACAGCTAGTGCTCGTAGCTATTAGATCGACCTCGTAACAGTTTTCATCAATGAACAACCGCACTGTTGGTCGCTTATGTAAACAGAACTTCGGATTGGCTGATGTTCAAGGTTAATGGTAAGTCAGCCAAACTAAATCGAAGATCAACTACGTACATGTAATCTGGTTGTTCGGTTGGATGTATACTCCAAGGGTAAAAGGCAGCAATCAAAACAAAAGAAGAAGAGTGCAATGATAGCTATGAGTGGACACGTAGCGAGCATCCTTATGACTCTACGTAACGATAAGTACGATAAGGTCAACTCGATCAAAAGTGTGCAATTTAAGTCACATCGAGTCATTAGTGTCGACTGCGATATTCACTGATTAGCTGACAAATCAGGCATTAAAGGAACTGGAGTTCAAGTCAGCTCTATCGATAGAACTGATCGACAAACATTCTGATAGTTTAGGAACATGATCGCTCTAGTCGTTGCGTTCTTGCACAGAAACATTCGAATTCGGCGGTGTCTCCGTTTCCGTCTGAGCCTG